AAAAAAAGGCATGATTTCCCTTTTGGTGAAATCTAAAAAATGTCAAATAATAGAAGCAGAAGGTAGAATGGTGGTTCCCGGGGTCTGCGGTTCAGGGAGAAGGGGAGATGTTGGTCAAAGGGTATAAAGCTGCAGTTATGTAAGATGAATACAGGTGGGGAGCTAATGTACAGCGTGATGACTATAATTAATAATATTGTGTTGGGTCCCGGAAATCGGCTAAGAGAGAAGATTTCAGGTGTTCTCACCACAAAACAAACACGAACTATGTGAGGAGATGATGTTAATTAGCTGGACCACAGTAATCAATTCAATCTGTTTATGTATAACAAATAAGCATGTTGTACACCTTAAATGTATACAATTTTTACTAAAGAAAAGAATGTTTTTCAAACTGGGAGACAAAGACCACTGAGTCAAAAATCCCAGCTTAGGTATCCACACTCCACAACCTTACACAAGCCACTTTACCCCTGTGGGTCTCAATTTTTCTTTCTTTTTTTTTTTTTAGGGTTTATTTACTTATTTTGAGAGAAAAGAGAGGGAGAAACAGAGACAGAGAGAGCAAAAGAGAAAGAGAACGAGTGCAGAAGGGGCAGAGAAAGAGAGAGAGAATCCCAGGCAGGTTCCACTATCAGCGTGGAGCCCGATGTGGGGATCGATCTCATGATCATGAGACCATGGCCTGAGCCAAAATCAAGTGTCAGACGCTCAACTGACTGAGCCACCCAGGCACCCCAAGGGGTCTCAATTTTTCTAAGAATGGGGCATACGCAAGTGTTGAGTCACTGTATCATACACCTGAAACTAACCTAACACTGTATGTTAACTATACTGGAATTAAAATTTAAAAACATATATTTAAAAAGCCTCCCCCAAAACTTAGTGGATTAAAACTATAAGAACTAATAATAATAATAATTACTTAATTAATTAATTAAACAGGCATGGACTCAAATGCTAGCTGCACAGTAAAGTGGAACAGCAAGGCCCTTACATTCTTCATTTATAATGCAAAGGAAAGAATGCATTCTCAGAAATTAATTAATTAATTAAGTTTGGAGAAGTGATTTGGAAGTGATTTGGAACCTGAAGTTTTATCTAATAAAAATGGGTAGTTGTTTCATTTAAAAAAAAAAAAAAAAAAA